TCACGGGTTTGGCGCATCACCGTATAAACTATATTTTTTTACAAACCACCATATAAACTATACGAGTTTGTCAATATGTCCCCTAAACTGGATATAAAAGTGGTTTAGGAGGCACACTGACAAAGCCGTGATAGTTCATATGGTGGTTTGTAAAAGTATGGGAAAAAATCTTTTTCACCCCATAACAAAGACAAATCAAGTTTTTCACACCGCCCAATAAAAAGTTAAGTTTTTCACCCGTGCGAAGGTTATGCGAAAACTGTCGCATAACTGTTCATATGCGAAGGTTATGCGAAAAACTGTCGCATATCAATTGCATAACTGTCGCATATTTATCGCACAATGCCTTCGCACAGTTATGCAATTGATACGCGACAGTTATGCGACAGTTTTTCGCATAACCTTCGCATATGGACAATTATGCGATGAATATGCGACAGTTTTCGCATAACCTTCGCACAGTTATTCAATTGATATGCGACAGTTATGCGACAGTTTTTCGCATAACCTTCGCATATGGACAATTATGCGATGAATATGCGACAGTTTTCGCATAACCTTTGCACTTTCTGGGGTGAAAAATTTAGCTTTTTATTGGGCGGTGTGAAAAACTTAACAAAACTTCAAAACGGGGTGAAAATAAATATTTTCACTAAAAGTATTTTTAGGGGGCACATATGGTGACCAAACAACTTTTTCAGTCAAAACCACTTTTATATCTAGTTTAGGGGGCACATTGACAAACCCGTATAGTTCATATGGTGGTTTGTAAAAAAAAAAATAGTTTATATGGTGATGCGCCAAACCCGTGATAGTTCGGATATGAAAAAGTATTTTACCCAAAAAAAAAGATGCATGTGACCTTGCTTTTTTTTTTTTAATATCACAACTTTAATAATATGAAAAAGTATAAAATAAATTAGAATAACAATTCTAGTTTATAATTAATTGATAAAAAAAATAAATACGATTATTTATAAATATAATTATTGATACAATTAGTGAAAAATAAGAAAAATACAATTATTGATAAACACAATACTTTTGTTGACAAATATTCATCTTAAAATAAATAAATAATGTTGTAAGTGTTTTAATTTTAATTGTAAAATAAAATTAAAAAAGCAAAAAAAATAATAAAAAAAAGTTAAAGTGATAAAGTGGGCAGACCCACAATTTCACGCACATATAAACATGTAGGAGCTTTTTTCATACACTCACACCTCAATTGTTGTACACACGCCACTACCGTAA